CTCACAACTGAGAGCAAGAGGCATTGATAAGTTCAGTTTGTGTGCGGCTGCATCCAAGGTGGCTCGGCTAGGCACCTCTGTTTCCTTGACTCAGGAGGTTGGGAGTCCAGCCTCCACTGAGGCTCGGCTGGGAGGATCAGAGTCTGAGTTCATGCCTGTGTTCCTGGTAGGATCCATGTTGGCTGAGCCTCAGTGTTTTTGTAATGAGAGGATGGGTGACTGTCATGTCTTTATCACAGGACACACTTGCTAAATGGATTTGTTTGCTCTGAGGAGGAAAGAGAGAGAGGGAAGTGGTGCTGGAGACAGGGATGCAGACAGGGGTCATGGACTTGGCATAACTCAGTCTTGGAGATGATATCCCATCACCTATACCCACTTCAATTCCCATGAATCCAGAGGCTGAGCCCCCTTGAGGTGAGGGGTGAACTGGTTCTGGGCAGCAGGATGCTGTGGTACCTCGGAGTCTCTGTGAGACCCCAACACTCGATGCACTTGGGCCCTTTGGAATTCTTAGGAGAAGCCTTGGGAAGTTGTAGGGCAGAGGGGAGCAGCCTCTGCATCTCAGTCACCTCCAACTTGCCATGGTGCAGAGTGGGAACTGCAGCCAAGATGGGACGGACATTGGCCACGTCCCTGTGTGGGACACAGGCCTGATTGAGTTGGGGTGCATTCTTTGTCTCTCCCCTTCTTGTGATTGTCCCATCTCTACGTTTGTGCTTAGCCACCTGTGAGTCCCATCTCTGGTTTCAGAGAGAATAGAGGGTGTTATGGGCCAATAGACACAATAACCCTCGAGATTAGATGCTACCCTACTTTCCAGAAAAGACTGGGCACGCCATGAGTTGCACAATGATGGGACCAGGGTCCAAAAGCTGCTGAGAGGGAAGGACTGGTTGTGAATGCATTTTTGAAGGCTCCAAGCTGGAACTCTAGTGGCACCAAGCAGGGCAGACGCTGGTGGGGGTATTTGGGTAGTTGTTGGTGAACACATGCGCACCTTATATGGGTAGGCATGGAGGAGAAATCAGCAGCCCATAGGGCTTTTGAAAGTGGTCTTATGTGAAAAGAGGCTCAGGTATGGGCACAGGAAATGACATCATCGCCTTGACAATGGATCAAACAGAACATGGAACCCTGGTATCCAGGCACCCACTTCACTGACCAAGCCATCCGCGCTCATTTGGTTGGAGACACGGGAGTGAGAAGGATGTTCTCCTGTGGTTGCAAACAATGCCGAACCTCAGGCTCCCAGGAATCTCAGGGGGGCCCACTAGCCCTTTTGTGGATACACTGGGTGAGGCTTCATCTTAGACGCCAGAGCCTCTGGCGATTGTCGCAGAGGAGCTCAAGAATAACAGTGAGTAGCACAGGGCAGGGGAGCCCAGCAGGCCCTCTAGTCTGATCCCTGATGAATGGCCCAGGACTCCTATTCTGTGTGTGTGTGTGTGTGTGTGTGTGTGTGTGTGTGTGTTTGTACTGATGGGAACTGTCCCATTGTGCTTTGACTCTAGTGTATTGGCACAAGGCATTTTTCTGTTTGTCACCATTTCCATTTTGAACCCACCATTCTTGGTCCCAACCCAGGGTGAAAATGATCAGAACACGGAGGAGCCCTTCAGGGTACAGAGCCTTGTACCTTACAGGCAGGACCAGCTTAGGAATGAGCTCCTGCCTGACATTTGTGGGAGGAACCTACATTTCAGCAGCAACATGGGGTTAATCTCCTGGGATTTCATCCCCACCCAGCAGGTGCTGGATCTCTTGTTCCCAAGGTAAGCACCAGACCACGAAGCCCAAGTGTGTAGCCCCCTCATGCCTGGGTCTTGGGGCTGCCATGTACCTCTCAGGGACCCAAAGGTTTGTGATACCTAGTGAGATAGAGGACCACGCTCATAGTGGAATGTCAGCCCCGAGTGGGACGAGTCCTGGAGGTGCCTGCCACAGCCTTGAAAGGGGAGTGAACTCCCCCTCTCAGGCAGAGAAACCATCCTGACTCCAGCTGATCCACAGAGATCCATGGAGCAGTCCCCACACACTGGGCACCACAGCTCAAAGGTATGCACTGAGCTCATTCCCAGGTGGACTCAGTGAGGCCAGGTGGTCTTTCTGGTGTGATGTTGGCTTCGTGAAGAAAGTAGATCTGTGCCAGAGGCGTCTCAAAACTCGGGCCTTGGGCAAAGCACTTTTGGGTTAATAAAGACATGTTAGTTTCCATAGTGGGCCACAGCTTCCTAGCTGGGACATAGCTGGACGGGGGCTTTGGAGATGGCAGCTCCCACAACCAGAGAGATATGTGGGAATCAGCAATTTGGGCTCATTCACTGATGAACAAGGAGAAAGCACCCACTGTGTGAAGACACGTTTCCAGTCACGTTTCATAATTCAGTGAAAAATGGGGTGCAAATGACTGCCATTGTGTCCCTTTTCATGGGGGTCAGCCTGAAACCATAGGTGCCGTGAGTACATATCCTACATGTGACAGCATCCCTGACTCCATGAGGCATAACTGCACGTTGTCCTCTTCAGTGAACATGGTGGACCCTGGACCAACTTCAACATGGAATGGACTTGGGGTCAAGAGGGTACTCTCCTGTTTCCAGAATAGGGACTTGCAAGGTGATTTGACTTGGGAAGGCTGAGAAAAGACTGTTCTCCCCAATTCTGTTTCCTGCATGTGGTGTAAGGTCCGGGGCTTCAACAGTAGGAGGGGTAAGGCAGGGAGTTGTAGGTAGTCATGGTCCTCTGGGGAAGGCCCTGGGACGATGGATCCCCCCACACTACACCTCCCAGTCCTCCCCCAGGGCCACAGAGATGTGCTCTGCACTCATGGGAAAAGAGAGGTCCGTTGCTGCTCAGGGGGACTCAGTGAGAGCTCACAGAGAATGAGGTAGCATTGCAGCCCACGCCAGGGGGGAGGTGTCTCTGGAGCCCTGAGAAGAGTGGGCAGGAGGACAGACACTCCTGGAAGGTGCGATCCAGGTTGGAGAGCACGTAGCCAAGAGGAAGAAGAGTGTCAGGCCTGCCCAGAGGAGGGGAGAGCTGGTCATACCATGGATCTAACGCTCCTTCGTTGAAGGTTCTTTGCCTCGCGACCTGTCCTGTCCCTGCCTGTACAGCCACTGTGACTTGTCTGAGGTGGACTGGTGTGTGCGGAGCCATGGAAGGTTCAGGAGTGTAGCATCAGAGGTTTGCTCTGGAGGCCGTGGCGAAGGCAAGGCCAGGGTTTGGCTGACTCCCCTCCTGCCTCCCCACAGTGCCTCACCTTCCTTCCCGGGGACCTGGGTGGACTTCTACACCGAGGCTTCCCATCAGCCTCCAGGCTCTCTGAGTCTGCAGCTGCTGCTGCGATCCATGTGGCTCCTTCTGGGTGGCTTGAACCTGGAGCACCAAGCCCACCACCTGCCGGCCCAGACTGACGATGGCAAATCAAGCCAGGCAGAGCCTGAGAGCCAGGCGGACTGGGGTGAGCACCTAAGGGTTTATGAGGAAAGGTCCGACTGTTGTCCCACTGCGGGGAGTCTGTATGCCTGGTGTTGGGATGGAAATTAGGATAAGCCTTTGTCCACTCAGGAAGTGACCCCAGTCTGCAAAGAGGTCCTGTGTGGGCTAAGGGCCTGAGTTCTTCCTGGCAGCAGGGGTATTGTCTGTCTGTGCGAAGGTCAGGGCAGGCAGTCATGTTGGCATCTTTTCTCCTCTAGCTACAAGCTCAGTTCCTGTCACGGCTCCTAAGCCAACCCCAGAGCCAGAGCCTTCTCCCTGGGAAGGGGCAGAGCCAGAGTCCAGGACATCAGGGGTCTCCACTAGGAACTCCTCACGGCCCCAGTACAACAAGCGGGTGGGAGGCAGCTGCCTCATTCACGTCTACCTGGAAAACGAAAGGACAACAAAGTATAAGAGCATCCTGGTGAGTCTTCCAGCAGGGGAGTCTCCTGGGAGCCCACACTGGGGAAGACCGAGTCCACAGCAAACACCTTGGACTAGGCCTGTCTTCTTGAAGTGGAGCTTCTGGAAGGTCAGGAAGGAGAGCAGACAATGAGGAAGAGAGAGTTCGGGGTTAAGAGCTTGACCTGAGAGGCGGGGAGCAGCAGCATGCCAGGTCTGGGTGGGAGTGGGCCTGCGTGTTTTGGGGTATGCAGGCCAGAAGTGCAGGAGCGAGTGCTGGGTTCAGAGGTCAGAGAACTATCGAGGGTACAGGCCGTCCTCCACTGACCTTGGTATTGAGGAGGAGTATATTGAACAGTGGAGGTTGAAGCAGAGGAGTTGGCAGTCATTTTGTTGTGTGTGGGAGGGGATATGTTGCTGGTTGAAGGGAAGGGAGCCATTGTGGGATGATTAGGGTGGGTAGGTGTGGGTCACAGACAACTGGGGGCCTTGGAGGGGTCCATTAGTGTCCTAGTTTGCATGTATGTGAATAGAGAGTTAGCAGCTCTCTCTGCAGAATTTTCCTGGGTGTGGAGTATCCATCATGAGACTCTGGTGTCCAGCTGCAGGGGAGCCATGTTGAACCACCTCACCTGCTGGGTCCATACCTCCTGACACCCCAGCAAGCACTGACACTCTTGAGGCCAGCAGCTTCCATGCCTATCATTAAAGAGTCCCGAGTGTGTGTTGTGCCCTAGCTGTCAGGACCAAAGCACCTAGGGATTGTTCCTGATCTGCACACAAATGCTGCCACATCCCAGACCAGAGCAGGGATATGGAAGCTCACTGGACCATACCTCCCATCTTGATGGGACTAGAGTGTGTCTGTGCAAAGCCTGTTTGGTCCTTGTTCCCTTCTCCCTGTAGGGCATAGCAGGTTCAAGCAAACTCTTGTACCAAGATTGGGCTAGAAGCACATAGGAAGACCCCACATGATCACATGAAGGCCTCAGGTAGCAGGGTAACAAGATGGTGCCCTTGTGTTGAGAGCCCAGTTGTCTCTGATTGTCCTTGAGCACTGTCCTCTGGGTAGCTACTCCCAAATTCCCTCTCTGATGATCTTTCTCCAACCCTGCTCAGGTGACCTGCCAGGACAGGGTTCCAGTCATTATCCGTAGGGCCCTAGATGCACACTTGCTCCAGCAGGAGGATCCAGAAAACTTTGAGCTTCTGCAAATTGTCTCGAACCATCAGAGTAAGTGGAACAATCAGAAGGTAGGGAGCAGTGAGTCACAGTGGGCTCAGGATAACTGGGAGCCAAAACACAGTGTGCGTTGGCCCAATGCCCAGGAAGAGTATGGTGGGACTTGTGCACGAAACAAAGTGTAATGATGGGGCATAAATCTGCAGGTTCTTCATGTTCCCCAGGGGCTGTGGACCTGCCTACCATGTGTTCTTTCCTTGGTCTGAGGAGGCATTGCAAAGCTATTATCCATGAGGGGCCAAGAAGAGAGGCTCCTTTGTCTTGTGTCAAAGAAGACAGACAACCACAGGGTGCCTACTGTGGCAGCCTTTCCTTGTAGAAGGCCGGCTGGCTGCAAAATAACCGGGGGGTGACGAATAACTTGTGTACGTTGATACAGCAGGAGTAGGAGCCGTTTATTACAGGACAGGAGCAGTATTTATACATTCCACACAGCTTATCTAATTAGCATAAACTAGATACATCAGTCAACCAATAAGGAATCTCCACACTTAATGGCTCGCTTTTGTTACTTCTCAAACCACTCCCTCTGGCATTTTGCCAGGCACCATCCAGACTTGTTTACAGACTCTAACATTTCCTGACTGAGATGAGTACATGAGAAAAGCAGTTCAATGAAGAATCATTTCTGGCTTCCAATCTTTCTATTCATTGCAAACTGAGTCCACTTCGGACCAGAGGCCATTTCTAGAGAGAAGTGTGTGGTAGAATAGAACCCTTCACAGCTTGTAAAGTCTTCTTGGAGAGAGAGAGAGAGAGAGAGAGAGAGAGAGAGAGAGAGAGAGAGAGAGGAAGAAAGAAGAAGAAGAAGAAGAAGAAGGAGGAGGAGGAGGAGGAGGATGATTAAGAGGAGGAAGAGGAGAAGGAGAAGAAGAAGATGGCAGAGGAGGAGGAGGAGGAGGAAGAGGAAGAAGAGGAGGAAGAGGAGGAGGAGAAGGAGGAATAGAAAAATGAAATGAAAATGAGTTGAAGGAGGAGACAATGAACAAGAAGGTCAAGATGACTATAAGAAGAAGCATGAGGAGAAAATGAAGAAGGACAAGAACAAGAAGGAGAAACACAAGCCAAACAACTAATATAACAATAAATCGATTAAAACTGTGAATGAGAATTATACTGATGAGGAGGAAATGCAGAAGTGGGGAACTCAAGAGAAACATATTTCTCTGTATGGCACAGCCCTGCTGTGGACATCCTCCGCCCACGCCTAACACACCTCCAATCCATACCCCTCAAATTAGCATAGCCCTGTATGAGTGGATGAATCCCCTGGCAAGGTGGAGGCACCCACCTTCAAGTGCTTTTCCCCAAACCCACCTGTGATCATTGCTGCAGTGGGGAGAAAACCTTCAACACAAGAGTCTTTGGGGGCCAATCCAGATGCAAAGTCTAGCTGTTTCTCTTTGGCAGGTTAACGTGAACTGAGAGGTTCTGGGGTGCAAGGGGCTATTTCCTTGAAAGGTGTTCCTGTAGTGGACCTCCTGTGCACAGAGGGTCCTCAGGGAGGAATCAGTGGGGAGTCTTTGGTGGAACAGTAGCTGGATTTGCGGGCTCTCAGGTCTGTGCGTGAGACCTGAGCTGGCAGAGGCTCTCACTTGTGGGGGATGTTGGGTAGTGTCTTCCTTGAGTGTCACCTGCCATGCCTCTGCCCCTGCCTCTCCAGAGCTGAGGATCCCTGCTGATGGGAACGTATATTATGCCCTGGATGGCAGAGTGGATTATAACTTTCTTCTTCGGGAAACAGCTGCCAGCAAGTGGATCAAGGTCAAGCCAAAGGAGGTAAACAGCCACCTTCTTCAGTCTTTACTCCTGGTGCCACTCCACATCCTCCAAGGGGACAAGAACCTCAGGTTCTGGATAGATGTTGTAGAACGCCCATAGAGCCAACTGCCAGGCTGGGTGGGGTTCAGTTGCTAGGCTTTGCTGATGTTGTCATCCCCCACAGTTCTTGGAGCCTTCTATGGCAGTGGCATCCAGGATCCCAGCAGCTGTGAGCAGCAGCTCTGCAGTGGCTGCAGGACCATTGCCCCAGGCCACCCAAAGCAATGAGTGCTGCATGAGAAAAGTCACCAGTAGCAGCTCCTCACTGCTTCACTCCAGCGAGCAGGTGGAAGACAGCCGCTTGGTTCACGTCCTCCTAGAGGGACAGAGCCCGAGGGAGACAAAGCGCATCCTGGTAAGCCCGACAGCAGGGCTGCCTCCTGGGTGTCCACACAGTGGAAGGCAGGAGACACAGCCAACCCCGGGGCAGTCAGGACCAAAATTTTTAGTGTATCTCCCTCTTCCACCCACAAAGGCAGCCTGCATCCCAGAGCACACTTGGCACGCAGGTCCCTGGCCCATTGCTCTCATCTCAGTGAGATGAGAGTGTGTCTGTGCATAGGCAGTTTGGTCCTTTGACCTGAGTGGAATGTGACTCCCCAGGGGGAGGGGAGATGGCAGGTACAGGCGGACATTTGTACCAAGATTGTTCTAGTAGCACGTTGCAAGAACCCAGGGGGTATATGGAGGCCACACTCAGGTAGCAGGATAACAAGATTGTGCCCTTGTATATATAGGTGAGATTTCTCCTGAATGTTTGACCAGAATCTTATGGGTAGCTCCTCTAAAACCCATTCTCTGATGACATTCGTCCCACCCTGATCCAGGTGACCTGTCAGGAGAGGGTGACGAGCCTCATCCGCAGGGCCTTGGACCAAAATTTGTTGCAGCATGAGGATGTGGACAACTTTGAGCTGCTGAGAATGATGTCTCTGCATGAGAATAAGTAGGACAATCAGACAGTGGGGAGAAATGATCCACAGTGGGCTCAGGATAACTCACAGCCAAGAGAAAGTGGGCCTTGGCCCCAAAATAGCCAGAATACCCAGTGGTGGGCCTGGTGCAGGAAACCAACTGCAATGATGGGCGTGTCCAATGTGGAAGTGCTCAATGAGGCCACAGGGGGCTGCTGGACCTCCCTAAATGTGTTCTCCCCTGGACCTGGTCTGGCAATGCAAAGCTAATATCGATGAGGGGCAAGGAAGAGAGAGGCTCAATTGATCATCAGTTTGGTTTATGGCTCACTGATAAGGATGCCTTCAAATGAAGAGGAGGAGAACATGGGTCCTGATTGGATCAGCATTGCTATGGACGGAAGCAGCACAGGTCCCAATCCATAGCCAGGATATGAGAAGTCCTGCCTACTCACAAGAATGTCAGGATTGCAGCAACTGGGAACAGAACTCAGTGAAGAGGAAGTCAAGGCCAGGGGACACCTGTTTGGGTTCTTTTTGGAACAATTCCAAGTCCTCTGTGCCTGGGTTACCATCTCCTGAAGATATCAGAATGGCCAGGTTAGTATTCCTTCCAGCAACTAAGAAGGGCATCTAAAGAACACAGGCCACAATGCTGAGCTGTCCACAATGCAGTGCTCTTTCCTTTCTTGTGAGCCAGACACCCCTAGCCTCCACCATCCCAGCCTGTCCACAATAGAACCCACCATCTGTCGGGCATGTAAGTGAGTTTTCCCATTTTCAAACACCACCTCATTTGGGTTGGCTCTGTCTTACACATGAGGAAGACTGAGGTGCAAGGAGCTAGCAAGGGGGCAGTGTCTGTGAATCTCAGGGACTTGGGAGGCTGCGCAGGAGGATGGGGATTTCCTAACAGCCTCAGAAACTTAGGGAGACCCTGTACCCAAGTCAAAAGGCCTGGGAATGGTCTCAGTGCTTAAGTGCCTCTGGTTTTATCCCTGGTACAAAAATAAGCCAGTCAATAAGGAATTACCAAACTGAGATTCTACGAAGGTGATTTCAGAAACACACTTTCAACCCAAGCATCAGTTGAGAGCAGCTCCAGACCAGGGGAGGTTTGTGTGTAACAGACATCAAAAGTGAGGACTACCGGGGGCCTGGAACCCACTAGGTGTGATGGCATCTATGCCTTATGGCAGGAGGGTGGCAGTGATGCTGGCCCTCTCCTAGATCTTGAAAACCTTGTTTTTATTGGGGAAGCTTTTTGGAGGGGGAATCTATTTTAGCAATCCTGGTCCAGATGAGGTGTTGACTACCACAGGTAGAAGCCTATCCAGAATGCGGTGTCTGTTATTCAGTCTTTCCTGACTGTGACAATGACAAAGAAAGGAAGTCACTTTTCTTTGGTCTTGGTTTCACTCCCGACCATTGATTGAGAACTGATTTCATCTTGGGGTTCTGAACCGAGGCTGCATCTGGGCAGAAGAGTGTGATAGATTTGAACTCCTCAGAGGACGCCCAACCATTGCCAGAGAAAGAAGGAGGAGGAGGAGGAGGAGGAGAAAGAGGACATTCCTGAATGGGGAGAAGATCACACATTGAAGAGCAGGAGGAAGAAGAAGAAAAGGAAGGAGGTGAAACAGAAGGAAGGGTGGAGGGAGATACACAAGAAAAAGAACAAGAAGGAATCATGTCAGAACAAGAAAAAGACCCAGAAAGAACTACAAGAAGATGCAGGACAGAAAGAAGAGCCAGAAGTAGAACAAGAACCAGAATACAAGCACCAAGCAGACAGCTCATGATGAGAAACAATGGGAAGGAGAGCGAACCTAGAAAACTATAGAGTTCTCCAGGGATCACCCTGCTGAAGTCCTCCCATGTCCATGCCCAACACACCTCTGATGGATACCACCTCCCCTCCGCATATTCATCCATAAGTGGATTCATCCAAGGATTCCCTGAATGCCCATGTCTGAGCATGGCTGCACTGTGGAGAAAGGCTTAAGCACAGGAGCCTTTGCCAATCCTGATGCAAAGCCTAGCAGTGTCTCTTTGGCAGATCTGGCCTGCACTGAGAAGTTCTGGGGCCCAAGGTGCTGTTTCCATTGTCAGGTGCTCTTTTGGTTTAGAATCCTGTACATCATCTTCTCCAGGGAAGAATCATTGAGGGAGTCTTTGGTGGCACTGTAGGTGGATTGGAGGGCTCTCAGTTCTGGTGCAGGCCCGCCCTGGTGGAGACTCTCAGGGGTTGGTGGTGTTTTGTGGTATAATCCTTGAGTGCCACCCAACAATTCTCTCCACTTCTCTCTGCAGAAATCAAGGTCCCTGACCACTCACTCATGTATCTGTCCATGAATCCGCGAATAAAATATCATTTCATCGTGAGGAAACGCCCCCAGGTCAAGGGAAAGGAGGTAAACTCCTACCTTATTCCAGCTGTACTTGTGCTGCCATTCCACTTCCACCTGGGGAAATAAGAAGCTTCATCACCTAGACATATGTGCTAGAAGCCCATAGAGCCAACTGACAGGCTGGGTGGCTTTCTGTTTCTGGGCTTAGCTGATGTTCCATCCCCCACAGTTCTCAGAATCAACCTGCAAGTCCTCCAGGCCGCTTTCCCACAAGCTGGTGGGAGAAACCTGCTTAATTCACGACCACTTAGAGACACAAAGTCCAAAGATGGCCAAGACTGTCCTGGTAAGCCTGGGAGCAGGGGTGTCCCCTGGTGCTTACACCTGGGTGGGGAACAGACACTGGCCCAAGACCATGGACTACTCATGCCCTCTTGAATTTGGAGCTTCTGGATGATCAGGAGGATTGATGGGAATCAAGAAGGGAGAGGTCAGTGTGAAGGGCCGGAGCTGAGATGAGGGAGAGCAGCAGCTTGTCCACCGCCATGTCTGAGGGAGTCTGTGTGTCGGGTGGAAGCATGCAGTCTGGAAGGGCAGGGGCAGGTATGGGTGACAGATGAGAATAGGACAGGACCTAGGTTGCAGGTTCCCCTGTATGGGATGCTGGCGTCCATAGAGGAGGACAGCAGTATGAGGTTCTGCATGTTCCTTGAACAAGGAGCTGAGAGGGTCTGTCTGCAGAGTCGATATGGATGTAGAGCAAGCACACTAAATGTCCAGGTAACCTGCAGGACAGGAGCCCTTTCCAATGACCACCCTTGCCGGATGAGGTGCCCTCCTACACCCCAGCCAGCACTGAGCCTCTGGAGGCCAGGAGCTCTGGTGGCTATCTTTCAGCACTCCTGTGTGTGGTCATGTTCCTGGGTCTATTTTGGGCCCTGGCAATCCAGACCAAAGCCTCTAGGTTTTGTGCCGGGGCTACCCCAAATGCCGCCTGCATCCTCAGGCAGACCTGGGATCTTGGATGCTGGGAGCCATTAGCCAAGTAGGTATGACAATTTCCTTGCCAGCGTACCCCATGTTGCTGACATGTTGCAGCGACATTGAATGTAGGTGACCTTGCTCAAGGACCAAGGCAGATTAGGGTGTTCCCGGTTTTAAGATAATCGTGTTTAGGGCGTTCCCAGTTTAGGTTCCAGGTTTAAGGTTTAAGATTATTCCTGCTGGGAATAGGGCGTATACTGCTGCCTGAGTTCCCCTTGAGTTCTCACGGGATTCAGACAGTATATTTTGGAGAAAGAAGCCCAGTGGAGGTGGATTTGGGCAGAGAACGTGGATTTCCCCAGAACGTGATTGTAGACGGCTGGTGTGAGTTCGGGAATAAAGAGTTGCTGTTTGAATCTACAAGCTGTGTGGTGGCTCGTGATTGTGTGCCCAGCCAGACTGTGGCATTTGGAGGCCACTGTCCCATTCCTCCCAACTTGTGGGATGAGATTCCATGTGTATACAGGTAGTGGGGTCCTTTCACCTCGAGTGGGGTGTGGCTCCACAAAGAGCAATGGCAGGTCCAGGCAGTCCTATGTACAAGGATTGGCCAGTAGCTTATGGGAAGAGCCCACGCGATGAGCAGGAGGCCAGCCTCAGGTAGTAGGGTCATGGATGTTGCCTTTGTATTTAGAGTTGAGGTGCCTCCATAATGCCTCTGCCCACTGTTCTCGAGTAGTCACTTCAAGGCCCATTTCCTGAAGGCCTGTCTCCCAGCTGCTCCAGGTGACCTGCCATGATAGGGCTCCTGTCGTCATCCGCAGGGCCCTCGAGCTACACTTGCTAACTCAGGAGAAGCCGGAGGAATATGAGCTGGGCCAAATCATCTCTCACCGTCAGAGTAAGTGGGACAATCAGATTGCAGGGAGCAAGGGTCAGGATGTGGACTCAGGTCAACTCTTAGCACCAAATAGTAGTCTCTGACCCCCAAGAACACTCCAACAGGGTGTGTTGGGGCTCGTGCACAAAGCCAACTGCACTTCTGCAGGTGTAAGGTCTCAAGGTTCTATGGTATACCCCAGTGGCTATTGCGGCCCCCCACCAGGTGCCCTCCTCTGGACATGAACAGGCATCCAAAGCTGACATCATTGAGGAGTGAGGAGGAAAGCCTCTTCCCAGGAGCCGTATGGCTCCATGGTCTGGGATAGGAGTGGTTTCAGAGGGACATGGGAATGCATGGGCTAAAGATGGAACTGGCACTTTTGTGGACTGAAGCAGTACTATTGAAAGCCTTCTTTGTGACCAGAAAACCACTGCCTTGGCAGAGTAGTGCCAGGATTCTAGCAAGCAGTAACTGGATGAAATTGGAAAGAAAATACAGGCTGGGAGACAGCCTGAATCATCTGTTTTTGGATAAATTCCATGGTCTTCCGCACCTGAGTCCACTTGCCAAGGAGTGATCACCATAGCCAGGTTAAGAACCCTAACTAAAGTCCCATGAGGGCTTCCTGAGCACGTCGGCCACAAAGCTCATCTGATAATAATGCCAGAGCTTTTTGGTTGGTTGGTTGGTTGGTTTTTGTGAGCCAAACACCACAGCAGCCATGATCCCAGCCTATGTACGCTGAAGACCACCATCCCTATGAGTTCTAGGGTCAATTTTCTCCTATCTTAACGTACTGTTAGGTCAGTAGAGCCTTTGGAAGAGGAAGTCTGTCTGAGGCCTTGGTAGCCTAAGAAATTCATAGCAGAGATCCCCGCATCCAACCCAGAAGGGATGGAGAACAGGCTGTAGGTTAGAGGAGGGTGGCAGGAAACAGGTGTCAGAGGAAGGAGAAGCTGGCTGTTGTATTCCCCCACTCGGGGTCATGGCACCACTGGGCCATACACCATGTTGGAGGGAAGCATTCCCTTTGCTGGTCTTTGGAACCATTGTTCTCAGTAGGGCAGCATTTGGGATGTGGCCTCCATTCTCAGAAGCCTGGTCCACATGGAGGCGGGCTCCACCAACACAGAAGCATGGCTCTAATGTGGTATCTGTGCTGGTCAGCCTGTCCTCACTGTGGCCATACTTGAGGAAAATAACTCAGAAGAGGAAGCCTAGGCCTTTTCTCTGGGTTTCACAGCTTTCTCTTGGGTTGTGCCCTGAGGGTCTCTATAACGCTCTAGTGTGTGGCAGTGGAGAGCTCCTCAGCCCTTGCCAAACAGGCATAGAATGGGAGAGAGAATGAGGCTGGGAGAGAGGGAGAGAGAGAAAGACGGAGAGGAGAGGAGGACCTCTACTTGGAGGATGAGGATTCAGTGGAGCCAACAGGGCCAAGGTACTATTGCCCAGGGCGCACCCCAGTTCAGGTCTTCCTCCAACCATACCCAACCTTTCTTCCAGTCCCTCCCACCTCCCAGTAGTATGTTAATCTTGAATGAGAATTCCATGATGACATCAGAGCACTCACCATCAAATGCTTCCCTCCAAAGCCACCTATGATGATGGCTGATATGGGGACTGAATCTTCAGCACAGGAGCCTTTTGTGGGAGATTTCAGATGCAAACCCTAGTGGTATGCTTTGGCAGATGCAAGAGGACCTGGGATGTTCTGGAGTCCAAAGCCTTTGGTAGGAACAGACATTAGGTCTGTTGAAGTGCTCTGCCTAGTTTTTCCTCAGGGAGGACTGTGGAGGCTGTCTTTGTTGGTATTGGTGCTGAATTGGAGAGCTCTCAAGTGTGTGGCTCACGTCGTTTCTGGCACAGGCTCTCAGATGTTGGGGTGTCCTAGGGAGCACCTCCTGAGTGCCACCTTCTTTTTGTACACCCCTCTCTCCCCAGACCTGAGGATTCCAGCGCAGGCCAATGTATTTTATGCAAAGAACCCTCACACAAAATCCAACTTCGTGCTGAGGAAAAGGAGCCTCTCCCAAAAGAATGATGAGTGGATCCAGCCTCAACCTCCCTCTGGTCCTGCAAAGAAGGCTCCAGCCCTCCTGAGGATGCTTGCAAAACCATTCTGCTGCTGTGTGCCTGGGCGGGGCTAGGCAGCCCAGGAATATTTACATTGATTACTGTTTGCTTGGAAAGTTTCAATCTATAGTTTGCCATTTTCCTTGACCTTGTTTAGTAACACAGTTGTTACCCTATCCTGTATTTGTTGTTTCCATTAATATATTATTATTTTGAAATATATTTTTTTGTTACCTGATCTACTCTGATGATTTGAGTATACTGAATGTAGCAGTGATTCCTAAAGGACACATCCAAACCAACAGGAAGAAATGTTTCATTCTATCAGCAAGAACTTTAGTTTTTAGGAGTATGGCAGATGGCATTATCTGAGTCAGTTTTCCAAGGGGGGCAATGAAGTATTGGCTATCATGGCACAAACACAAACAAAGACACACAAACACACACTAGAGCACACACTCAATGAGAGATAGACAGATTGACTTGGTCTCTGCCAAAATACTTTGGAGAAGTGGTTCTGATTTCTCCCATTTTGGAGTATTTTCTGTTGCATATAAGGTGTCTTACAAATGAATCCCATGTCTAAAGAAGACATGCATGTGTACTTCACATGCCACTTTTCACATAACCAGAAGGTCATGTCATGTAATATTTTTCATGCAGCTGTGTTTTGACTGTGAACCATCCCATGAGGTCAGCTGTGGAATTTTCCACTGGTAGCATCACAATGGGGATCCACTCTTTGGGTTCGGGGATATTTTAGATTTTCTTGATTCAGATTGAAATATATATAATATTTATGGTTTTCAAGCAAAATTGTGCATTTGATGATAATGAATGCCATGCATTTAGGAATCTGTAGACTGTAGACAATGAATGAATGCCTATTGTTGCCTAGACTGGTGTGCAAAGTCCTGTAGCATCTGAGCATGTGTGAGGCTGCATAGGGCTTGCAAAAGTCCAGGTCAGATGGTCCTACATGAAGCTGAGCTCCTAGCGGTCTCCTCCACAGCATAAGGGTCAAGGAGAAACACACTTCCACACAGAAGATGAGAATCTACCTTATGAAGGTGATCATAGATACGGGATCCTCTTGCTAGGACCCTTTTTCTATTGGGCCAGAACTGTGCTCTGAATGTGCTTGCTGAGAAGAGCTTGGAATTTTCTAACTGAACAGTTCGTGCAAGTTGCTTCCACTTGCAGGAACAAAGTGTGTTCTCCTTGAGCACTTTGGGCTGTCCCAGGTTGAACTAGAGTGTGTCAGAAGCACTTGTAATGATTGGCATTCATGGTTTCACATTGAAGCCTCTGTGCCATCTGTCAACCACTGATGGCTGCAAGTGGGGCCCTGCCATTCAATGAGTTTTCTGAAAAAGTAGGAGTTTTGGAGAACTGATCTTCTCAGCATTCCTCTTGCCTCCCCAAGTTGGGTGATGTCAGTTATACGGGCTTCCTTGGGAGCACACATTTTATATTGGGCTGGAATTGGACTCTGGATGTGATTACTGAAAATAGCTGGGGAGTGGGGAATGGAAGCCATTTGCTGCAAGCAGTTTCAATTTGCTTTGTTGATTAACTGTTGTAAGTGGGCACATGGTGTGTTTTTCTGTGTGAGCTAGAAGGAAACAAAACCACTTCTTACAGGTGACAGGCATGCTTTCACATTGAAGCCTCTGTGCCATTGATCAAAAACAGTTCACTCATGTGGGCACCTGCACTTCAAGTATATGTTGTACACAGTGTGACAAATAGATGTCAATGAGACTTTGGAGAACTGATCTTCTCAGCTGGTCCTCTTTCCTCCTGCAGGTTGGTGATGCTAGATACAAGAGATCTCTTTCTGGCACACTTTGTATTTCATGCCTGAATTGTGCTCTGAATGTGCTTGATGAGAACAGCTTAGAAGTGCAGAAGGGAAGCTGTTTGTAGAAGCAGCTCCAAGTAGCACAAACTCATTTGTTCTCAGTGAGCACATGGGGATTTTTCCCTGGTTGAAGCAGTGTGAATGAGAACGGCTTCTCAGAGCTGGTAGGCATGTTTGCATTTGGAAACATCTTTTCATCTGTCATCCAGAGTTTTTCCTTGCTTGCAGAAATCCGCATTTCAAGTGTTTTCATAAAGGTCTGATAAGTGGGTTTCCATGGAATTTTGTGGAATTGATCTTTTCAGCAGTCCTTGTTGCCTTCTCAAAATTGGTGATGCTGGGTGCAAGGACTCTCTTGTCAGCCAACATTGTATTTTGAGCCTGACCTCTGCTCTGAATGTGCTTGCTGAGAGGAGTTTGGGAGTGCAAATACAAAGCAGTCTCTCAGCAGCTTCAACATTCAGGAGCTCATTTTGTTCTCAGTGAGCACATTGGGGTTTGTCACTACTTAAACTAGCATGAAGAATAACCGCTTCTCAGAGGTGGTAGTTTCCCTTTGAAGCATTGGTACAATTGGTCAGTGCGAGTTCAATGCAGGCAGGCACTTGCATTTCAAGTGAATTCTGTGACAATAAATTGAGCAATGGATTTCAATCAACCTTGGGGAATTGTTCTTCCCAGTGGGCCAACAGTTCTCCTCCAAGTTGCTGAACCTAGGTCCAAGGGCTCTCTTGCTAGCACTCTTTGCATATGGGCTGAAACTGTGCTCTGAGTGTGCTTCCTGAGAATATTTTGGAAGTGCAGCACAGAAGAATTTTGGCAAGCAGCTTCCATATTAGGAAATGACTTTTTTTTTCTCATCGTGCCCATTGAGCTTTTGTACCAGGCTGAAGTAGTCTTAAATCCAACTGCTTCTGAGAGCTAGCAGGCACAGTTTCCATTGGAAACAACTGTGCTCTTGGTCAATGGCAAGTTGGTTGCTGTCAGGTACCTGCAGTATCAATGAGTTTTTAGAAGAGGGAGACCAAGGGAATACAATGAAACCTTGTACAATTCATTTCCTAATCAATGTTTGTGATGCTAGACCAGAGTGGACTTTTGCAATGATACTTTGTCATATTTTTGTAGCAAATGTGTTTTGAATGTGCATCCTGAGATCCATTTGTAGGGGGCAAACAGAAAAGGTTTGTGCACAAAGTAGCTTTGTTCTCAGTGAACACGTGGGGGTTTTTCCCTGGTTGAACTTTCAGGAAGCAGAACCTCTTGTCAGAGCTGATGGCCTAGTTTCACTTGGAACCATCTACGCACTCAGTAAAGCACAGGTCACTGCAGATGGGCTCATGCAATTTCAAGATAGTGTTCAGAATCTGTTTGAGGAATGGATTCCAAAGAATCTTTGAGGAATTGACCACCCATCAGACCCATTGCTTCCTATCTGAGCAAGTGCTCCCAGGTGCAAGGGCTCTCCTGCTAGCGCACTTTGGATATTGAGCCTGAACTGTTCTCTGAATGTGCTCAATGAGAAGAGTGTGAAGTGCAGAAGAGAAGCAGGGTGTGCAAACAGCTTCAATCATAGAATGTAAAAGTGTTCCTAGAGAGCACATTGGGATTTGGGCCTGGTTGAACTAGTAGGAACTGGGACCCCTTCTCAGAGCCAGCAGTCACTGGCTTTACTTAGAAATTTCTGTGTCTTGTATAAAGTAGAGTTTGTTGCTCGTGGGCACCTTCATTTCCAGTGAGTTTTCAGAAAAAATTGAGAAAAAGATTTCAATGAAACTCTGGGCCATTGATCTTGTCAACCGTCCAACTTTCCACGTCAGTATTGGTGATGTTAGGTACCAGGGCTCTCTGGGTAGCACAATTTGTACTTTGAGTGTAAAGAGTTGTCTGAACGTGCTGGCTTAGAAAAGCTTGGAAGTGCAGAATGGAAGCATTTTGTGCAGGCAACTTCCGATTAAAGGAACAGTCTTGTTCTCTGTAAGCACATTGGGTTTTGTTTCTGGTAGAAGCTGCCTGAAGCAGAACTTACTTCTCAGAGCCGGCACTCTCAGTTTCTCTCTGAAGCCTCTGTTACATTGGAAATGCAGGTTCCCTGCATGAAGGCTCCTGAGTTTCCAGTTTGTTTTCTGACTGAGTGGGAACCATTGATTTCAGTGAAATATTTGCAAATGGATTTTCTTCAAAGGACAGCTTTCCTCTTTAAAGTTGGTGATTGGAGCTACAAGGGCTCTCTTGCAGCTACTCTCTTTCTATTGGGCCAGAAGTGGGTTCTGAATGTGCTTGCTCAGAAGAGTTTCAGAAGTGAAGCCATTCATGCAAGCAGCCTCCACTTGCGGGAGCAAAGTGGGTTCCCAGTGAGCAATTTGTGGCTGTCCCTGTTTGAACTAGAGTATCACAGAATGACATGTAATAACTGGCAGACACTGTTTCACTTTGAAGCCTTTGTGCCATCAGTAAACCTGTTTGTTGCATATGGGTCCCTGCATGTCATTTACTACTAAACTCATCCAAGTCCAGCACGGTACTGGTTCTCAGAAAAAAAAAAGTGTGAAATGTCTATTGAACACGAAGCTCACACATTGGCAAGGAAGGCTGCGCTTGAAAACACCTCAGGCCTGCATGGGTGTCTTCAGCTGTGAGTCTGCAGCATTTCTTCCTGGGGCCTCTTTTCCAGTGATGCTGCCGCCCTGCCCTCGCCAGCTTCCCTCCCTTTCCCATCTCTCCTCTCTCTGGTCCACTCCGCAGATCCCATCCTCCCTTCAATAGGGCCTCATCCAGGAAGCCTGCCCATGTGCCTCCCACTTGATTCAAACTTCTCCAGTGCACTTGTTGTCAAAGCAGGGACTCCGAGGAGAGAGGGGCTCTCCATTCTCCACATGGATGTCTCTCAGCAGGGATTACTCCTCCATGCTTGGATGGCAGGGCTGTGATCACCTGGGAAAGTGGAAATAGGAGGCTTCCAGGGGGCTGGAGGTGTTCCTAGCCAGGGTGCTGGTCACTGCAGTGCATTTAATCTATGGACCTCAAGGAGCCATGTGCTGCAGAGTTGTGTACTTCTGCATCTGTATGCACACAGTTCTTCATGTGGGAAAAAAAGCGATGTTCTCAAAGTTTGCTTTATATTATACTCAACTGGTAATTTACAAACCCCAGTGTCCCATCTTAGCCCAGAGCCATTCCATCAGCCCAGGGCCAGTGGGTGGTCCAGTG